AATGCAGTCTTGTGAGAGCAGCCTCACACTAATTCACCCTGCTTGGTAAATCTGTCACTACCCAAAATATTTTCAGGGCTGTCAGAAATCCAGTCGTGTTTATTTATTATTCTTGTGTGAAAAGAGTGAAGCATAAAAAAATAGATAAATAAAAATGCAAGCAGCATCACTGTAGTCATATGACATAAAAGCAATTTAATAAGACCAGTTTAAAAAATATGAATATGGGTTTGAAGGGTAATTGGACAGCCCAGCAATGCAAAGTTTCAAAGGCAACAATTGCAACTTTTGTTACAAAGTAAACTGAATATATAATTTTAAGCATGCAAAAATCAATAGTACAGTAAACCAAAGAAACCCAGGCAAAAATTAAACCTGTCTAAATCCAAACAATAAATGGAAAGAAATGGATGAAAACTCAAACGTATTAGCATGATATAGAATGTACTTTTACTTTTTCAATTCATTCAATTATATTATCTTTTAGAGTTGTGTTTTTGCTTGTCAGCTCCACAGTTGTTTTTTTTTGCCAACACCCACTGTATCAGCACTCCTGTCAATGCAGTGGTCTCATTTAAATGAATGAAGGGATCATTTTGCCTTGAAGCAGAGGGGATGAAGATATTATTGGACACATAATGCATGTGGAAATTGGTATATTTCAGTGACAAATATCAGTTGAAGACATTCCAGACAGGATGACTGTCAGTCGGAGTCGTCTCATTAGGCTTCACAGATCACTGTAAGATGAGAGCTCCCTGGTCAAAGCATGAGCGATAGAGCCAAGTGGCTTGGGACTCTTTAAATAAAAATCCTCAACACCCTCATGGAAAATGTTTCGGGAAAACTGATTATCACCATCACTCATTATTTCTCCAGATTATAGTGGCCTTTTCATTGGCCAAGTCTAACCAGTTGGCACTCTGTTTATTGACGGGAGATTTCTTGTCACTGGGGCTGAAACACCAAACAGTTCTTGGGCTTCAAATACGTCCCCATCTCTTAAGGGCCGATGAGGGTCTTTAGAAACACTGGCTGGAATATTCCCTTGACTGTTTTATTGTCAAGCTCAATGGAGCATGTATGGTTATGTCTGATCTCATCTTGTAGGTACTTTGTTGTTTTCCAAGCTGGACATCAAGACAACATCCTGCACCATCTCCCTGGCATATCCGGTTGTTTAGCTCCCAAGTCAGGATCATGGTGTTCCTTAATTTTAGGCTTTCACTGTCTCTCCCTAAAGGTGCCACTCAGGCAATTCACAAGCCAGCTGCTCATGTTTTGTATGTTAGTGTGTGCTGGGACCAGTGAGATGTGGCTGTTCTTGTGGGTCTTTTTTCATTCCCCTTCATTTCTGTTCCAGGAAAAAATAAATTACCTCAACAACTTATTGATCATTGTTAATGTAACATCTATGATAAGTTGATTAACTGTTTTGTGTAATTCTAAACTA